GGGTTTCACCATGTTGACCAGGATGGTCTCGATCTCTTGACCTCGTGATCCACCCGCCTCGGCCTCCCAAAGTGCTGGGATTACAGGCTTGAGCCACCGCGCCCGGCCTAAGTATTCTTAATTTATAACAATATAGTTACTTGCATAAGTGCAATAAGAATCTGGTTTTTTTTTGTTTGTTTTTTTGTTTTGTTTTGTTTTGTTTTTGAGATGGAGTCTTCCTCAAGACTAAAGTGCTGCAGTGGTACACTCTCGGCTTACTGCAACCTCCATCTCCTAGGTTCAAGCAATTCTCCTACCTCAGCCTCCTGAGTAGCTAGGATACAGGTGTGCATCACCATGTTGGCTAATTATATTTTTAGTAGAGATGGGATTTTACCATGTTGGCAAGCTGATCTCAAACCCCTGACCTCAGGTGATCCACCCGCCTTGGCCTCCCAAAGTGCTGGGATTACAGGCGTGAGCCACTGTGCCTGGCGAAGAATCTGTTTTCCTTTGTAACAGGACACAATTGAAAAAACTGCTTATTTTACCAAGGCTTTAACTGGAATGACAAGCTTTCCTTTAAGGAATCAAACTTGACTTGCAAAGCCAATAACAGCCCCTTGGGGAAACATCTCACTCCTTGTCTCCAGTCTCTATACAGGGTTCCTGACCCGTGGTAAGTAAAAAATGTCACTTTCTCACAGGCCCAGGAGCCCCAATTTATCTTGGGAGGCCAAGAGGAGAGGAATTTACTCAGCTGATAGATATTTGATGGTACAAACCCATGGCTAGGCTTGGTTTTTAAAAAGTCTTGCCCTTCCAAACAACAAAGGGGGAAAAAAAAAAAAAGTCTTGCCTGGCGCAGTAGCTCACACCTGTAATCCCAGCACTTTGGGAGGCCAAGACGGGTAGATTACCTGAGATCAGAAGTTCAAGACAAACCTGGCCAACATGGTGAAACCACGGCTCTATTAAATATACAAAAAAAATTAGCTGGGTGTGGTGGCAAATGCCTGTAATCCCAGCTATTCAGGAGGCTAAGGCAGGAGAATTGCTTGAACCTGGGAGGCGGAGGTTGCACTGAGCCAAGATCGTGCCACTGGACTCCAGCCTGGGCAACAGAGCAGGACTGTGGGACTATGTCTCCAAAAAAAAAAAAGTCTTATCTGAGGTTCTTTCTATGGAACAGAGTTCCATCAAAGCCCACTTAAAAAGAGCTTATAATAATTTTTTTTCTTTTTTGAGACAGAGTTTTGCTCTTGTTGCCCAGGCTGGAGTACAGTGGCACAATCTCAGCTCACTGCAACCTCCACCTTCTGGTTGCAAGCGATTCTCCTGCCTCAGCCTCCCAAGTAGCTGGGATTATAGGGGCCCACCACCAGGCCCAGCTAATTTTTGTATTTTTAGTAGAGACAGCGTTTCACCATGTTGGCCGAGCTGGTCTCAAACTCCTGACCTTGTGATCTACCTGCCTCAGCCTCCCATAGTGCTGGGATTATAGGTGTGAGCCAGCATGCCTGGCCCAGATATCGCCCTTTGTCAGAACTCAAGAGTTATGAATGGGGCCAGGTGCGGTGGTTCGTGCCTATAATCCCAACACTTGTGGGGAGGCTGAGGCAGGCAGATCACCTGAGGTCAGGAGTTCAAGACCAGCCTAGCCAACATGGTAAAACCCCATCTCTAAAAAAAATATAAAAATTAGCTGGGGACTAGCCAGGCGTGGCAGCATACACCTATAATCCACGCTACTCAGGAAGCTGAGGCAGGAGAATCACCTGAACCTAGGAGGCAGAGGTTGCAGTGAGCCCATATTCTGCCACTGCACTCCAGCCTGGGCAACAGAGCAGACTCCATCGCAAAAAAAAGTCATGAATGGCTCTTACCATACTAATGATTTTTGACTGAGCTCCTAATAGGAATATCATTGCCCCTGTTCAGCCCGAAGAAGTTACAGAAGATGGATCTTCATCCCTCTGCAACCTTTAGGATTAAGGGTTCTCTTATAAAAGGGAGGGGGGAAATGTCAGATGTGTGAACCAGAGCAACTCCATCTCAAATAGGAGCTAGGTAAAATGAGGCTGAGACTTACTAGGCTGCATTCCCAGACAGTTAAGGCATTCTATGACACAGGATATGATAGGAGGTAGGCACAAAATACAGGTCACAAAGACCTTGCTGATAAAACAGATTGCAGTAAAGCCAGCAAAACCCACCAAAACCAAGATGGCGATGAGCAGTGACCTCTGGTCATCCTCACTACTACACTCACACCAGCACCATGACAGTTTACAAATGTCATAGCAACATCAGGAAGTTACCCTATATTGTCTAAAAAGGGGAGGCATGAATAATCTACTCCTTGTTTAGCTTATCAAGAAATAAGCATGAAAATGGGCAACCAGCAGCCCTTAGGACTGCTCTGTCTATGGAGTAGCCATTCTTTTATCCCTTTACTTTCCTAATAAACTTGCTTTTCCTTTAAAAAAGAAAAAAAAAAAAAAAAAAAAAAAGAATCCCCTGGAGGGCTTTTAAAACACAAATTCCTGGGTCCCACCACCACAGTTTCTGATTCTTGGTGAGGCCTAAGAACCAGCATTACTAACAACTAACCACTTGACACTGACACTGGCCAAGGACCACACTTTGAGAACGTGTGGTCTAAATCTATCACCAAGGCCCCTGTACTGATTCAGGCCAATTGTAATACACAGAAAACAGTCAGATTCGTGTTGACTAAGACTTATGACTAAGTCTACCACATTATTATTTACTCTATAAACCAGAAATTAACATCCAAAATGGAAAACAATTAAACTATATACTATACTAATGTAATCAGAAAGAAATACAAGCAAAATAATGCTGTAGAAACAAATTTATACCAAAAAATAAGTTTAAAAAGGGTAACAAAAATTGTAATGTATATCAATTTAAACTGTATTAGACACACCTACACACATGGATTAATGACAAAAGAAATTTCAAAAAAATTACTTGAGTTGAAGGTTGTGAGGTTTCAAGACTTTCAGCTGTTTAAATTTTCCTCAGAAGATATTTTAAGGTTCATTTTATAAAGATAGCAACACTAAATAATTAAATGGCATATAATTAAACAAAATCATAGATACCACAGGATACTATCACTCAAAACTGGATACAGGAGGCATCTGTAAATTGGTTAATTTCCTCAAATTTGTGGTATAAAGTGCTATTGAGAAGCCTACAGCGAAACAGCTGCAAAATACACACACACACACACACACACACACACACACACACACACACACACAATAATTACTTACCTGCCACAGGAGGGACAACACCAGCAAAACGTACTGTTGCATGTTCTCCGTTAACTTCAACTCTTCGACCAATGACATCCAATGTCAACGTGTCACTCATTATAATATATCCAGAATCCAAAATATAAGATCTAGGAAGAAAAATACAACACTGGTAAGAACTTAATAAAATTCCTTTAAAGGGTTTTTTTTCCTTTTTTTTTGAGACGGACTCTTGCTCTGTCGCCCAGGCTGGAGTGCAGTGGTACAATCTTGGCTCACTGCAACCCCCACCTCTCAGGCTCAAGAGATTCTTGTACCTCAGCCACCGAGTAGCTGGGACCACAGATGTGTGGTACCATGCCCAGCTAATTTTTGTATTTGCAGTAGAGAAGGGGTTTTGCCATGTTGCCCAGGATGGTCCCCAACTCCCATTGAGCAGAGATCACACCACTGCACTCCAGCCTGGGCAACAGAGCGAGACTTTGTCTTAAAAAAAAAAAAAAAAAAATTATAATTAGGCCAAGCATGGTGGCTCATACCTGTAATCCCAGCACTCTGGGAGGCCAAGGCTGGCAGATTGCTTGAGCCCAGGAGTCGGACAGCAGCCTGGACAACATGGTGAAACCCCATCTCTACAAAAAAGTACAAAAATTAGACAGGCATGGTGGCACATGCCTGTAGTTCCAGCTATTCAGGAGGCTGAGGTGGGAGAATGGCTCGAACCAGCGAGAGAGGTTGCAGTGAGCTGAGAGAGGTTGCAGTGAGCTGAGAGAGGTTGCAGTGAGCTGAGAGAGGTTGCAGTGAGCTGAGAGAGGTTGCAGT